GACATTCTACTAAACTTTCTTAAAGAAAAAATTGTGTGCCTTTTTGTTAATTATGAATGAAAAGAGAGAGAGGGGGAAAAAGATAATAGAATTTGCAATTATTATTATTATTATTATTTAACAAAAATATGATTATATTTATCAAAAATAGAACATTAAATTAGAAAGAATGATGGTACTCGACGTCACATACATATAAAGTATTTGAACTATTTTCAACACTCTGTTTATGATATAGATAAACCTTTAGATAGTTGTTATACTTTTTATTTCTTGTTACCAGATGTTGATTTTGTCATTATAGAAAAGATATCACTGTCATTTTTGAATTTCATTAATCAGAATACTTAAAACAAAAAAAATTTGTATCTCTCTCTTTCAATGTTCAAAGATACAAAAGACAAGAAAATGAAAAATCGTTTGAATGATAAGTAATGTACATTGATGAATTTTTCAAATATTAATCGATTGGATTAAAATTATTGATGTCTTTTTTTTTTCTTTTTTTTCAAAAAAAGAAATATTGTTCACGTTCTTATTGCGTAAAGATGAAAGTAAATTGCCTATGGTGTTGAATGATACATGATTATAAAAGAGTGTTGTTGTGTAACTTACGAGAGAATATTCATCCTGAGAGATCGAAAATCAGACACATTACATACTGCTTGCCGATGAAATAGATAGTTGAATGATAGAAGTAATTTAAAAAAATATTCACCGACATAGTTCTTTCGTTTTTTGTGTTCATCATTGTGGAATACCGTCTATTTGGGCTTTTGATCACACTATGTTGTTATATAACTGTTTTTGATTTTAATAACAAACTTGTTGTTGTTATTTTTGAATTTTTATCATAAAAAATTAACTTAATATAGATATATACACACACATTAAACACGTACATTGAATAATGTAATCGGATACACACTTGAGTTGTTTTTTAAGTATCCTATTTAGTGTACAATCACTAACACTCAATGAACAACAAACTTATCATTATATGTAGATTTAAAGAATAGTGGGGAACAATTATCTTAAGAAAATATTATGTATATTGTTTCATAGTGGAAACTACTATTAAATGGTTATCTTCGAGAAACTTAGACTCTACGAGATCTATACTATGAGATTTTGATGGTCTAATTTTAGAAGTGAAATGAGAAACTAGGAAAGAAATTTTTTATTATTTTTTTTATAGAAAATTTTCAATAATACAGTTTATTGAGAACGGTATCTCGAACATATACCATCCACTTTTTTTATTGTCTCGGTTTGACTCAATGACAAATCTGAAATTGTTATTTATACAATTTACATGTGGAATAAAGAAGAATCCTATAAATTTCTTTGACAGGCCCTCCGGCTGAATCAGAGTTTTGAAACTTCTATAACAATAAACGTTTTTTATTTACTAGGCAACTAAAAGTTTATCTCGTCTTACAAATTGAACTTGATAAAACGAGATAATTCACTTTTCCAATTAGCAAATCAATGAGCAAATGTGTGTGAGTGTATATATTGAACGATAATAATCAAAAAAAAAATAGTGTGAGCACTGTTTTTCTTCTCTGTATATTTTGAGAATAAGTTATTTGAAACTTTATTGATGTAATCAATTGTAATTTGACTAAAACAACAGCGGTATTTAATAATATAATCAGTTTCTTCTTCTTTTTTTTCATGGCAGGTTCATAGATACTTACAGACATATTGCGTACGTTGATTGTTTTGAATAATTTCAATTAGAATAAAATAATTTTAAATACAGACTTCACACACAGTGTTTGATACATCAAAATGAAGATGATAATTCAACTAGTAATTATACAGAATCAACTCATACAAAGATTTTAACTTTACATTTATCAAATTTTGATAAAACTTGTTTAGTTCAAATATATTAGACAACAGACTTGAATATGTCATATTCCTTGATATGAGTATACAAGGAGTGACGATTTATGTAGACAAATCCTTTTACATCGCATTTTTGGTTCAACAGAGAGATAACGCGGTGATATCGATCAGACGAATATAATCTTTGACAAGTTTGTCAGTGTCAGTAGTCTATGTTATAAACGTCGGAACCAGATTTTATTCACATTTGATGATTGTTATATTTTGATAACATGAGAATCTAATGAAACAGAAATTTTTATCAAATTGTCACATTTATACATCAGCATGAAAATATACGACGAGAATGATGTGCTACTATTGTGAATATCGGTATTTTTCATCCATAATTCGGTTATACTACTCATCCTTTGATGGAAAGAATACAAGCTTTTTTCTAGCAGAAGAAGAGGTGTTGAAAGTTTTGAATTTTGAAATAATATGTTTACATTGGTCGAGACGAGTATAATGAGTGTCAATAGGTTTTTCTTTAATACATCTTAGTTGTCTTTCCTTTATTCATTTACTATATACTATATTTTTATGATAGTGCGTGCATCTATTCTGTATAAAAAGTAAAACATTGATAAGTATCAATCGAATGAACAATTTATTTTGATTATTAACGTACATTAATCGGATTCTCAGCTAGCTCTAAGGAGTCGTAAAAATGATCATAACTATATCAACTACATTCGGTACTTCTAATCATCTATCACGAACAAAGATAAATATAGTATATTGTATTGATAATCAATGAACAGGGTATGTTTACGCTATTGAGAGTAAAGAATAAGCTCAAATAGTACATTAGAAGTATAGAAGAGCAAATTGACTAATGAATTCTAAACTATCTACTTTTATGAGAGACATTCGCTGTAACCAATGTAATTTGTGTGTTTTAATGTCTTCTTTAGTACAGAATACAAAAAAAGTTTTCTCTATCATATTCAAACCGATATGATTGCACACACATCGTTTCGACTCAAAAAAGAAGCATAATTCTTCGACCAACTGTGTACTACTACTAATAACTTAAATGTTTAACACTACGATATTAATAACTTGAATATAAAAGTCTAGACAGAAAATAAAACTCACTCTTTTCGAAAATGAAATTTTTCATTGAGTAATTTTTTTTTTGGTTTTTTAATTCAGCAAAAAATATTAACGAAGGAAAACTTTTTCATGCATAAATTATGTTTTATAATCTTCATTTCTTCCATATCTTTTTGTTGATTTCTCAAGATACACTGATCGTTGTTCCACTCAATCAGTTTGTAATCGTCATCAATATTCCGTTGTCTATATTTTTCTTATTATCTTCTGTATTTTCCCTTTCGACACAGAGTACAAAAAAAAAAAATTCATCGTATTCTTCTTCTTTTTCCTCATATTATATCGATTACGTCTCAAAGAAAACTTCGATTACTACCCATGTCTTTATCTAAAAAAGGATTTCTTTTTTTTTTTTTTTCACAAAAAAAAATAATAATAACGCCGCGTTGTAGTTGATCTAACGATATAGTTCTATCTTTTTATTTCTTTCCACCAAGCACATACATGTCCGACTACTTAAGAGAAGTACGATAATAGGATTGGTTAATTCTCTTCTCCTTTTTTTTATTGGCTTAAAACAATCGTATTTGCTAGACATAAGACGACTGAACGAAAGAAGGAAAAAAAAAAAATCATTAGAAAAATTATTTCTGGAATATAAGACCGATTTAGATGACAGTAGAGTTTTTTATAGTCACAAAAAGAAAAATAGATGATATTGACCTTTTTCTCAGCATGAAAGATCTTTGATGAGAAAAGAAGAGATAGAGAAGAGGAAAAAAGTTTGTAACTCTAGGATTGGCTGTTGTGAAATGATAGTTAAATAGTAGATAGATAGAGAAATAGGAAGAAGAAAAACAGATTAATCGTTTCATTTTACAAATTTCAGTCGCATTGGGACATACAACAGTCGATCCCATCGGTCTTTCTCTATAAAAAAATGACATTACGGTAAGAATTAAATTTATGTCATTTAGATAAAAAAAAAAAAAAGAATAAGAAAATCTTAAGTTTAAATTCCTTAGAGTTATTGTGCCGGTATAGTGACAGATGTTAGCGTGTGATGTTTTGAAAAAAAACAAAACGAAACTTCTTTCTTTTTTTTTTTTTATTTATAAAAAAAAGTCTTCTGTTCACACTATTTTGAGGTTGAAGGTAATATTTATAATTAACTGTAGAAGAGAACGAATGAGTACTCTCAATGCGGGCATCGTTTATGTTCTCTAGTGAGTTATAAGAAGATTTAAAATATTTATTTAACGATAATATGAAAACAAAGACAGAAATGTATACACAGAGGAAAACAGCTTTGAGAAGAAAAATAACATAGAGATAGTCATAACCGTAACTATAACTAAACATAATCAAGATAGACAAGACTATAGCATAATAAAGTATATCTAATAAAAACACTCGAGTAGTTTAAAATAATTAGGAAAATAATTCTGATGAGTACAGATGCATTGAGCCTTGTGAAGTAGAAGATACAATAAATTTATTGTGGAAAAATTCTGATATTAGAAATATACTATTGTTGATAAAGTTATGGAGTGTATCGTTGAGAACTGACTATTCTCCTCTTTTTTCTACACGTATAAATATTAATTTTATTAAATTAACATAGTCTACACTCCTGGATATATCTTTTTGCTTCGAGAAAGAGTTATATTCAATTTTCAAGGAAAAAATAGTTTACGATAATGAATAACAGATACTTTATGTTGTTAAGATATGTGTAAAAATTTGTGTAGTTCACTCTTTTTGTCAAAAGTTGAAAAATATTCTTCTTTAAACATACTTTTTTTTGTGTGTGAACTCTCTCTCTCTACTCAAATGTTGACAAAATTATAAAATGTTCATTCAATTCTAACTAGTTTATAAATGTTTTTTCTATATATATTTTTTTCTTTTTTTGTTCAAAGATTAAGTAACAATTTTTGTCATTCTAACCTTGTAAATTAAAACTGTTTTTAGATGAAATATACCAATCATATCTGTTGGGAAAAAGTTTACATGTGATTTGAGATTTAGAGTCAAACAATAGAATAATTCAGATCTCTCTATTTACAATCAAACGGTTTGTACTAATGTCTCTCAGAAGACCGTTCTATTTATTTTTTTTCTTCATGAAACATCTCCTTTAATGCCTATTTATTTATCTAAAATCGACTAATCTTTGACTACGTGTGTGTCTCTCGTGAGATACATATTCACCTGAAATATACTTAAATTTTACTAATGTAAGTTATATAAGACAAAAAAAAATTACATCTTATAAATCATATTGATTCAGATTTCTTTTTCTTCTTGTAAACGGTGTCAAAAAAAGAAAAGAAAAGATATAATAAAGAATAAAATATTTGTCTCGATGGAAAACATACATTCACTTGTTCGTTGTTTGTCGCGATCTTTCTTCTTCGTCTGTTCGATTATTTTTTTTTTTTTCTTCGTCATTGGTCGATATACAAACGTGTATTTAGTGACCTATTAAATTCTTAGGAAAAAAATCAAGTACTTGTTATTTATACTCTCAGAAGACTGATGAAAATAGCTCATCGTGATATACTCTCTATGGTAAGATGTTATTTTTTCATTCTTCTTTTTAAAAAAAAAAAAAATGAAAAATATAAGTATAGCTACTTTAATCTAAGTAAATTAAAAAAATTGAAATAAAAAAGTTTAATAAGACTCATGAGAAATAAAATGATATATTAAAATAAATTAATTTCTAATTAGAGAAGGGTGTCATTGAGTTTAAACTAAAACTGTAATTGCATCATTCAATTTAACAGTGATATAGAAGAACTCCAGAGACAAACATCTTATTCAAAAATTAAATCTTATAGTAAAACTCGATGTATCATACCATTTCTTCATAGATCTAAAGTATATATTTCTTAATGAAATTTTATACTATTTTTGATTTATCACAATTGATTATCTTCTGTTAGGATTGTCTAATGCAACCTCGTGGATCTTTACTGGGTTTAAAAGAGGAGCCGTTGAGAGCCTCTTGGTCCAGTCCTATTAGAATGTTGGCCGATCCAAACTGGTAAGTATTATTAAATTAAAGAATATTGTCATTTTGTATTGTTAATATTATTTATATTTATTAGTATTGGTGTATCGTTAGCTCATTTTGAAAAACAACCACCAAATAATTTAAGAAAAAGTAATTTTTTTCATTTTACCGTGGCATTATATGATCGAACTGGAAAACCAATTGAAATTGAACGAACAGCATTTATTGGTTTCATTGAAAAAGATATGGTAAGTTTATTTGATTTATTTATTTTTTATTTTTTATTATATTAAATAAGTAATTTGACCCTATGAATGATATTAACATTAATCTTAATTGTATTCTTACCAATATATATATTTTTATTCTAAATATATTAGTCTAAATGACTAATACACAATCAATCTTACATGTGTATATGTGCGTGGGTGATTGAATAATCACATTGTCTTAGTTTTAATATCACCGACACCATATTATATAAATATTTATTAAATTTATTTGTAGACAAGGACATTTAGTCTCATAGTGAATATGATCCTTCTTTGTTCACAATACACCCACAATCATCCAGATGCTACTATATATATTTTCTGAAAATTGTAGATTATATTAATTTAGTTAGCTACTTAATATTATTTAATGTTTTACCAGAGAAGAAGAAAATGTGTCATATTTTGAGATGAATGCTTACGTAACTGAAACAAAAAGATGATCAAAACTCTTTAGATTAGGGCTTTTTACAACTTAACTTTTTGCTGATAGTAAAGATGATGTTTTAGATATATTCAAATTATTGAGTAAAAATAAAATATTTTCTTCGATTTTCTTTCTTTTCTTTTACTATCAAATAGTCAAAATTTTACCATTAACGATTTTTAAATTAAGTTATTTTTTATAGTATTTTGTCATTAAATTCATTTTTCAAATAATTTTATTTATCATATGTTTTACTTAGTCTTTTATTTTGTATATTTTTAATTTATATTTCTTGTGCAATGGAGATCGCGTGCATGTCAAAAAGTCATAGTACTTTCAATTACTACTAACAGTAAAACATTTCTTTCTTCTTCTTGGCCTTTTCCGTTTGATATATTACTTTTGATAGAAGTGAATCGTCTTTCTCTAATTACATCAAAATGAACACCATCTATACATTATTTAACAACGTTATATTTTGAACAAAAATTAAGCATCCTTTTTATATTCTTCTTCTAATATCGATGCACACATTATTAAAATAGAATGAAAAATGATACGGTACAATGATTGACTTCTAAAAACTAATTGACAGAAAAAAAATCAATAGAAACGTGTTCATCTGATAACTATGCTATTTTAAAACTGTACAGAACAATATCAAGATGTTCTTTTCTACGAAAAGAAGAAAAAAAAATAAATAAAAAATGGCATTCTCTTTTTACGCGTCATAATTCATATTTCAACTTCATAGAGTGAATGGACATGTCATTCGTACTTATCTATTATTTTTTATTTTGATCATTAGACCATTCAAAAACATGATGTATAACGTTTTCTGTAATTGAGATTTTTCTTTCTTCTTTTTTTTCTTCTCTATAACCGCATATGTCACGGTTTATACAAGAGACTGCAAAACTTGAACAACAATAATATATGTTCAAAGAATATAAAATTTAAAATCTCAAATTTTACGCGCTCAATATTAGAAAATATTGTGAAAATAAAAATTGGAAAAATGACTACTAATTAGGATCACGTTGGAGAAAAGGAAGTGTTATTTTTCGTACGCTAACAAAATTTTCTCCTGTTTTATATCACATCAGAATTATCTTATTTCTTATTTTCATTTGTTTTAAAATTCTAAGTTTGTTTAAAAAGCATTCATTTAAAAACGAAACAGAATATTATCTTTGATTATAGAAAAATCAATTTTTTTTCTCTTATATTAGAAAGATATTTATTGTACGTTTACTTTCTTTTAGGAACCAGATGGACTTCGAACAAATAATGGAATTCATTATCGTCTAGCATTATATTATCCACATCGTACGTCAAATGAAAAAAATCTAAAATTAATTTCAATAATTCATATAATATGTCTATTTTAGTTGGTGTACATCAAGATCAAGATATATTTGTGCGTATGATCGATTCGGTGACTAAACAGGTAATAAATATACTTTTACATTCATCAATTGTTAAATATATGATTGATATTTATCTTTTAGCCAATTGTATATGAAGGACAAGATAAAAATCCTGAAATGTGCCGTGTTTTATTAACTCATGAAGTTATGTGCAGGTATATATATATAGCAAATGATAAAAAATTCAACTATTTACTAGACTCAATTTATTTTACTATTTTTTTTAGTCGTTGTTGTGACAAAAAGAGTTGTGGAAATCGAAATGAAACACCATCGGATCCCGTTGTTGTAGACAGGTATAAAATTTCGTTCATTTTTTTCTTTCTTATCTTAATAGAGTAATTCTAGTCCTGATTATTTCTTACAAAAAAACAAATAAACTTTCTATAATCACTTTCTATTTTCAACATCGATAAGGGTAGGTGTGGCTCTTATTAGCTGTAGATGAGATAAAGACTCAAAATTAGTTTTTGTTCTCTATAAACACACACACACACATATATATATATATATATATATACAAATAGATAGTCATTGGCGTATGTCAAAATATTTTTATTATTATCTGTTGTTTTTCATCTAATTAATCTTGTGTGTTTCATAGACAATTAACTCTGTTGAACAACAAAAAATTACTGTTAGACTAAGTATCAGTTCAAAACTACAATTTTTGTTTTGTTTTGATTATTATATTTTCTATTTCTGTCGGCTATACTAGATAAAATCTAATAGGGGCAAATGTGTGTATGTAAGTAGAGACAAACACGCGCTCTTATTGTCGTCGGACATAGATAGAAAGTTAAAAAACATATTAATGAAGATATTGATACTCTCAAAGTGATTTGATCATCTTAGAAATGTAAGACGTTTCGCTTCTTCTTAATTAATATATATTTTACTCTAATAATCAACGTTAAATAGCTTTTAATTCAATTTCAAATAATTAAAATAAAATATGACTCAAAAGATTTTATTCAACTGATCTATGAAAATATGCAAGATGATAGAAAAAGAGATCATTTTGTATAATAAATTGTTTTTCTTGCTTAAATAACAACAACTGTATAATAATCTCGTGAAGATCTACTCTCTAATAGTTTTTGACATTAAGCATTCTGTATTTTATTTTTTTCATTCACTCATATTGCAAAATTATATTTCTATGATAAAATAATTTTTCCGGGAGTGTACACACTTTAGGCAATCATGCGATAGAGTAGAGCAGAATGAAGAATTTGTTAACAATATGTTCCCCATTTTTTTGCTATTGTTTATATTGTCCCAAGAGCATGACTTTAATTTTTTTTTTGTTCAATATGTAAGGAATATGATGAAATTGACACAATGTTTTTTTTTTTAAAAAAAGGCTATACATCAACAGAACAGTGAGGCTTATATTTAAAATATAAAACATATATCACATTAGACATATGCTAGGGAAAAACAGAAAGAAACAATAACGAGAAAGTTAAGTCAAGTGCACCATTGGTTTATACCGTTAGATATATTTTACGTCTTTTTACGTGTGTGTGTGTGTGTGTGTTTTCAAGAAAGAAGTCTGCTCGTGTAATTGATTCAAATCGATTAGAAGGGAGAGAGACAAAAAAATTTTCAATTAACTAAGTGTGTATGCATGTATTTGAAACTTCTTGTAATTATACATTCCAATAATATGGTCACACTAGTCAAAAATGATAAATGTGTATTCGTTAGTCAATTTTAATATTGTTTCTTCGATAGTCAAAAGAAAATAAGCTCATTTCACATTGAAATAAGTAGCTGTAAAATTTATATTCAAAAATGTTAGACGATCTAACATAGTCAATGATACCGTGAACAAGTCGAAAGTTGCTCGTTCACAAGATTTTTTCACAAACAAAAACATGTTTTATGTGCAAAAAATCTTTCGCTTTTGGCAGCAGTTAGTGTAAAATATTGGATTTTTCCATCGACACGTAACTCTACGTTGCGAATCTCTCTATTTCTAACTCTCCAGCTAAGTTAAAAATGAAAATACTAGGGAATAATAACAGCTATCCAGGAATAGGAACTATCAGCTCATATCGATATTTTGTCTCAGAAATACTCTCAGTGAAATTTTTTGTTGGCCGCGTTGTCTACAGAAGTTACAAATTTTGTTCGATGTCAATGGTTGTGATATGTTAAGTAATTATCTTGCGTATATTTCTTTTGCATTAATCTAAGAGGCGATAAGAAAGAGAGATCCAGTAAAAAACATACTTAATTATGATTCGTTCTCAATTAAACCTTATTCCTATATAACATCTCATACAGAAATACAAACTATTGAACGAGCTAATGTCCAATGTTACTAGACTTAATGACTGATTTGGCGTCGAGTTACTGTTGCCTTCGGTGTTTAAATCTAATTGTATTTTGGTACTCTATATTTCCTGTCACAAGAACAAGAAGAAAGAAAGAAAGAAAAAAATAGTTGATTAGTTGAGCATTTGGCAAAAAAACGATCAACAATCTGTTGATATTGCATGTTCAAAGTAAAAGAGAAAATGAAATACGGAAATAAAAAACGGTATTAGTCTATGAATAATATACCGACGAACAAGCGAAACAGTAAAAGTCAGGCGATCACCGTCTTCATCACAGTTGTTACAATATGAAATGAAAAAAAAAAAAATAATGTGTGAATAGGTTAAGTGACATGACACGAATTCACAATGATTATGATTATATGCGATTTTAGTTTGGACAATACATAAACAACATAAAATATAATAATAAAATAAGAATACAATTTGTACGATATATAATCATTTAAAAAATACAATACTCAAAATAAATCTTTCATGTTTTTCTTATTTTAGATTTTTTCTTAAATTCTTTTTAAAGTGTAATCAAAATTGTTTGAAAAATGCTGGAAATCCACGAGATATGCGTCGCTTCCAAGTAAAATATATATTTAAATTATAGATTAATAATTATAATTAAACAAAATAAAATAATTTAAAAATAAAATTCATTTTTAGGTTGTTTTATCAACATCTGTATCTGTGGAACCACCATTATTGGCTATTTCTGAAAATATGTTTGTGCATAATAATTCAAAACACGGACGACGAACAAGAAGATTAGATGTAGATGGAGGTTCGTTATGTGAAATTTCAAAAGGTATCAATCTTAGATGCCAAATAATTTTTATTCATCATTGGTTGTGTTGAATTGTTTTTTCGTCATTTTTATTTATTTTTTCTCTCATCATTTAGATTCTTTGATACCTACACCAACGATAAAAGCCATTTGTCCAAGCGAAGGATGGACAATTGGTGGCACGGTTGTTATCGTCATTGGAGACAATTTTTTTGATGGATTACAAGTAATGTTTAATAATACAGTTGTTTATACTGAGGTAAATAATCATATTTTTTTTACCTAATGAATAAATTTTTTTACTATTAATGTTTTTGTTTCTTAGATATTAACTCCTCATGCTATTCGTGTTCAAACACAACCAAGACATGCTCCAGGAATTGTTGATGTTACACTATCGTATAAAGGCAAACAAATATGTCGTGATTGTCCGGGAAGGTTTGCCTATATAAGTATGTTTTCAATAAAATTAGAGATTAAAATTTATTTATTTTAATCATATTTTATTTAGATATGCAAGAACCAAATATCGATTATTGTTTTCAAAGACTTCACAAAATGATACCAAAACATCCTGGTGATCCAGAGCGTCTATCAAAAGTAACTATTAAATATAAATTTTTATCATTAATGATTTATATAAATTGTTTGAAAATTAAAATTTTTAACAAATTCTTTTTTTGATCAATAAACTAGTGTTATGACATTTTTCTTTTTTAAAATAATTTTTAGGAAATAATTTTGAAACGTACAGCAGATCTTCTCGAACAGTGTTATACAATGTCTGGAAATCCTCATCATTTTGCTCTTCCAACACCACCGAGTGATCATGAAAATGATGCTGGTATGTAATATATGTCTGCTTTTTTTTTTTTATTATCTTTTAAATATTCAAAGATTGTAAAGCAAAGTGAGAGATTTTCTCTCTTGATAATAAATATTCACTAATAAGATGGCATGAATAATGAAGGAATACGAGTAAGGTTAACTCTATTTTATTGATGCTTTCTTTAGTCATGCATCTTAGATGTTTAACTATTTGTTTTTGAAAATTGTTTCTAATTGACTCTTGATAATGTAAAAAATAGCAATTATATTTAATGCTATGTATTATACTTCTATTAAGAAATAATAATTAATCTAATTAAGTAATATTTTGTCCCTTTTATGGATTTCAGCATATTATATGTCACCACTTGAAGGTGAGAAATTATCTCTGATATCGATAATTAGCTGCTTTGTTTCGTGATTCGTTTATTTTTTTTTTCTTTCTTTATTTATTTATTAAATTAATTTCGTTTGTTCTTCTGTTCTGTAAGTGTGTTTGTTGACTATAATAACTATTACATATAATACTATTTTAGCATGATAAATATAAAAACTGACGTTTTCAAGTTATTTTATTTTTCGACAAATTATTAACATAATTTAGAAATGTATTTTTTGCTAAAAATATTGCTGTGGTGATCGCATGTAGTTTTGAGTTTTTCTTACATTAAAGCGCATGGCTAAATAATGTATGTTATTGTTAAATAAGATCGGTCTAAATCTGGCTTAAGTAATTTTAATAGATCAGAGATAAAGCTTTAACAGGTTAGTTATAAAACAATATGTATACTTGCTTCTCTAAAAAGCTTAGAAGATATTATGCGCGAAAATACTCGACTAAATAAAAACGAACATTTTTTCATATAATACATTTTTTTCTAGGCTATTCGAGAAGTCAAACGTCACCTCGAGGATGTGGAAGCAGTTATGGAAGTGCAGCGGCATTAGCCTACGCCCAGCAACAATCTTATAATGTACCTTCACCTGGATTTTTGAATGGTAAGTGTTAAATGTTTTATTATTTTATCTGTTACTCACTTATTTAGAATAAAAAAAAAAATGTTTATGCACATCTAGAACTAAATGAAATGAATATATGTCTCTGCTAGTGTTATTGCATTTTCAATTAGCTGTTTCACTTGTTCGGCTATTTCATTGAATATATCATCTTCACAACTTTTCTCATCTATAGCATTCAAACAAGGAAGTGCTTTCAATTTATTCAAACCACCCAGTCCTGCTGCTAATTGTCATTATTCTTCTACAAATTGGAGTCTATTGTCGTCTGCTATGTTAGTATTCGCATGTATATGTTTTAGATGTTTATGTTTGTTGTGTCTCTTATATACGTAAACGTTGCTTTGTCATGATGAAAAATTGTGAAGACTAATTTACAGCCATGCTCTACTAACTGCCTCTGACAGATTCTAAAATGGGTTAGATTGGGTGCCGGTTGTAAGACATCTAAGTGACAATAAAGATATTTTCTCCTAAAAAGACAGACCCTCCATAATCCTTACTAGTTTTATTTAACTACAATAAATCGTATTCTAATTCTAGGAATGACTAATCTGATGTCATCTGCGTTCAGCACAATTGGACCATTTGGTTTGGGCACAGCTCAATATGGGTTAGGATCTAATAAATAAAGCAACTATTTTATGCACATATATCACTATCTGTGTATTACATCTATTTATTTTGCTAGTACATAAATGCATCTGTTTGTCTGATTTTAAGAATCAAAAGACATTGTGGGCTGGTCCCATATTTTTCTTTTTAAATATTTGTTTGTTTTTAATCTTAAACATTTGTTTTTTTCAACATTAATTTCTTATTACAGCCGATGTATGCACTTCAAAAATGCATTGTACAAAATATAATGTTGAAGTATATGCCTATATTCTTGCATATCATGAATATTATCCCGTTCTTATTTGTGAAAATGATTTCTTCTAAGATGAAAAGATAAGTTCCTTCTTACCTCTCATACACCTTATACATATCGTTTATTCATTTTAACCATTATTTTCTTTTGGAACAGTTTCTCAGAATTGTTCATCTATACCGTTTTTTGGTTAAAGTTTTTCTGTAATATTCATTTGACTTTGATTTTTTCAATATGTTGTATTCTTTTTTTACTACTAAACTATCTATAAGAAAAACAATAATATTTCAATTAATCAAATTCAACTTGTATTGGAAAATATTTGCTAAAATTATCCACCATGTTAGACATTTAAAACTAGTATACTATTGCTAAGCATTTGTACTAATACGATCAATCGAAACTATGTAGAATAATCATGTCATGTATTTAAAACATCAAATTTGTTCTAAAATAGACAGTTTACAGAACAATTTACACAGTATGAGAGCAATATTGAACCTAACTGTTATCTGTTTAATGAGTCAAAATGTTAAAACAATAACCATTATTGAGGTTGATTCAGATGTATATTTTAACCTTATACAGAAAATTATCAGCAGGAGTTATAGAATCAAGTACATACTTGGTATGTTCACTTATATATACGACATTATGTTAGTTACGATCACTAATCATAATCATAATGATGTCAAGTGCATTAGTTAAAGTGATGAAGTAAATATCACTTTAAAAAAAAAGTATCAATGAAGACATGCAATTGTAGCAACATTTTAACTGCAGTTAAGAAAGACAAATGCCTTGATCTCTGCATCTGAATATAATATGATAGTCAGTTGCGGTATCTCTCCTATGTGATTAGTATTTAATCAAAAATCTGATTTACAAAATTCACTTCATTTCTAGTGTCACTAAATGATTTACAGTGTGAAATTAGTTTTCGTTCGCTCTATGTGTATGTTTAGTAACAGATCTTTGAACTTTGTCTTAATACTGCTGCTTTTTTTCCCTTCGTATTGCACGCACCCTCTCCAATATAAAATTAATTTTTTTTGTACAATTTATGAATAAATTTATTTAGTGTTCTTTTTATCCATTTCTTTTCTTCTTTTCATTCCGCTGATTAAAACTAATGTATCATTTATAAAATGGGGATATCATGCAGTCTGGAAAACATTTCTACTCTTTCGATGTGTGTGTTAATCAATATTTTCTGTGCTCATGCTATTGAAAAAAATTTTTTCTCCTCTCTCTTTTCACAGTAATGATAAGTGTTTATAGAGATAGATTCTTACATGCTGCCATAGTGTCTCATTGTATTAATAGTACAAAAGAAAATAATTTCATTATTGTACATATATTACCATAATGCAGAAAATATTAACTAATTCGAAATGCTTTGAAGGAAGAAATAAAACCGATGATAGTTGAGTTGATTCATTAGACAAACAACTTATAAACGAGAATGCTAATATAGACAGATGTTGGCATGAGCATATAGAGAAAGAAAATTTTTAGAATTAAAGCAAAACGAAACAAATATGTATTCATGCCTTTTTTTTCTACAACTGTCCAGGTTTTCTCATGAGAAAAAGAAGAATGATGAATAGATAACTGATAAAATTCACAAATAATAATTTACTTCTATTAGCCGCAGGCTGGTGTATATTAGATGTCAATACTAGAACTGAACAAAGTATATATAACACATATTTTTTGTCAATCAATGAAACTGCTTTATTAGAAACATGAAATTTATAAATAAATGTTACAAGCTAAAACAAGTTCAGTATCAAGAACGAAAAACCAACTGCAGAGTGTGTAATTAATCAAAATCAACTGGAGGTAGCGTTAATAGATTGTCTTTTAGCAAGTAAGGCTGTCTGAATTAAATAAAGGTAGTTAGAAGATAAAAAGTAGCTCCTAGTGTAATGTCACTTGTTGAAGGGAAACTATGCGATTTTGATTTCATGGGATAATTTATACAAGGTAAAATTATTGAACTGTACGAAATACAAGAGAAAAAAAAAGCGATATAAGGTGTCATTATTTGTATCTATTAAAAGCGCTCAAATGTTCTTTTTAAGAAGTTATAGCACATCATAAGCTAACATAAATGCCATGATAAATTAATTTTACCTTGTATAAAATATCCCATGACAACAAAATCGCACAGTTTGCCTTCGAAAAATGACATTACACTAGAAGTTACTCGTTGTCTTGTAAGTACCTTTACTTAATTAAGATAGCCTTACTTGCTTAAAAACAATCTATTCACTTATTATGGAAGTAGTCAACAATGAATATTATCCCATGTCGTCATGCGATTTTGACGTGATGGGATATTTTATACGAAAATACAAAAATACTCATTCGAGGTAACGCAGAGAAGAAAAGATTTCGGATTCGGCGGTTTCGCAGGATACTCATGCAGTAGAGAAAATATATTAAAATCGTGCAGACGGATTATACTCATTATGTGCCCTAAAACGGTTATGAAAGCCGTCTAGAATCACTCCAGTGTTACCACTCTGACCGTTCTCATCAATGTCAGATGCTTCCGTCAACTTGTACACTGTAACGTCCGGAATTATTTATAGAAAATGCTCGGCGATTTTGAAAAAGTCCATATATGAAATCCTCACGGATTTTCCAGATTATAGAAAATCGAATTTTCAACAATGTGGAAAATCGACATCGATTTTCTACATTATTGGGAAATATTTATAGAAAATTCTCAGCGAATTTCTAGATGATGAGGAAGAACAATTTGAGTGAGAATGCTGATAATCAGAGACTTGCAAAGTGAAAATGGCTGAAGACAAACTTTTTCACCGTTATTCAAAGCTATTGAACTTCGAAGTTGAGTGGGGTGTATTATTTCAGCTTATTGGATGACAATATGGATTGTTTAATAATGAAAGCCAAATTTGACATAGCTCACGTGTTGAACGACTGTTATTTTATTTAAAAAATAAAGAAAATAAATGTGAATTGTTAGGATCATGTCTTTGAGTTTACGGTAGATGACTGTTGTCTTTGGTGTATGCAAACCAGTGGCTGTCAAGCATTTGTGCACATCGGAAGTAGTAGTCACTGCTACATTAAATCTATCTGTACGAACCCTTTTTACAAAAATCCAACCAATAGTTATTGGGTTATCGCTGAACAAATTGATTGTTTCATTCATCTGAGCGGGATAGTGACTTAACTTGGTGTGTATGTCGATGTGAACTATCTTGTATTTTTGACACAGAAGTTTACTATGTCATAATGAGGTTCACAGGTATAATAAAATACAGAAAAATCGACACCATACAATCAAAATACACTGCTTTTTAACAGAATCGAATACACGCATCATGATTGATAGTAAAATAAGAGTGAATTGGGAAAACGACTCAACAGACGTTTCCCGACTCCGAGTTGAGCGATCAACTCGAATACTCACACTGTGACGAATGTTAGTATTACAAAATGTGCAGCTAGTGTTAGTGTGAAGCTTGTCTTAACGAAATTTTAAAAGCGGATATTTGCTTTCAAGTCCATTGATTGCTTCATCCTTCTCTTCGTCTACGTCGTTTAAGGCGTTTCCGGCATCGTTGCATATGCTCTCGATTTCTTTCTTCAAAACTCGACTTCGACATATCCCTGCGATGGCTTTGCCTATATCGATGATGACAGGCAAAAGTACAGTTTCGATCGATTTCTTGTTATGCGTGTGTTTGATTCTGGCCATGTCGCGCGCATAGTTGACTCTGGAAAAGAGGATATCGATACTCTTTTCCATATTGACAACATGATGCCAATCGTTTTCCACTTGAGACATTTCATAAAAGTTGTGCAGCACACAATCACAGTGGTTGGAAAAAAACACGATTGTTCTGTCTATAGAAAAAATTTTAGTATGAACAGAGAAAACAAGTACTGATACACATCTTAAGATAGTCCAGTTATAAGACTCAGGATCCACAATGTTGTGTATCTCTCCTGGGTATGTTGTGAAGCTATAGCTGACCATGATCCAGTCCATCACATAGAGAGAAAGACTGGACATGATGGGGAATAAACGAATTTGCTAGCATCGCAACGGGTAACCCACTCTTGCTGCTTAGCAAAATGTATTAAGAACACAAATTTTTTGTCTATTGTACATCTCTAAAAGGAATCGCGATAAACTTTTGCTTTGTGAAGCAAACCCACACGATCATAAAGCTCACACATTCTCAAGAGTCTCATAGGCTAGACGATTGAGAGAAGAAAGCATCAAGCACTGTTGTCGTATAGTGAGAACCGTGGGTAACATGTAGTAATAAGCGTAAAATAATGCATATCTGATGATTTATTGCCTAAACTTGCACATCATAGATCTGGATGAACCATGTTCAGATTTGGTTTTCATTAGCACCACTTTTCGCTCCAAAAGTTTCAATTAACTGGAAAGTGCGACAATCCAAAATTTAGTCTAAGTTTACCTAATCCTCAACTGTATTGTAACGACGGTTTTTTTGGGATAATAGTTTTACATTCACAGACGACAAAAAGTTCGATTTCTAAAATTTTTCTCGAGGAGATATCAACTTTTTTCCTGGTCAAAAAAAGAAAGTCGATTGGCGTTCCATGGCTAATAGGTTTTTTGAGAAAATACATACTATGTTCGATTCAGAACTGAATTTTGCGTTGCGATAAATCAAACTTTTTTTCATCATAATCCTTAACTGCGCATCTTGTATAACTGAAAAATAGAAAATACGTTCTAAC